TCGGCTCTCGGCTGGAATATATCGGGAACCGCGTGAGACGCGATACCGTCTCTCTGTGCGCATCGGCGGCGTCGTGGCAAAGGCGTAAAGCCCGTTTGCAATTATTATTAATTCGACAGGCGGAGAAAGAGAGAGAGAGAGAGAGAGAGAGCAAGAGAGCGGAAGATAAAAGTAACGATTATTTCTCGAATTCGCGCCCGCGGAAAATCGATCTCACGAGAGAGCGCGTGCGTGCGTGCGTGCATCGACAGCGTTCGCTCTCATTTGAGCGCGAAAGAGAGAGCCGGTGAGCGACGTTTTGATGAAATTTTCATGCGCGCATTTGTTATCACTTGTATCGGAGATCGCGCGTATTTGCGGCGGACGAGTGCACGTCACGTCGCGTCGTGTCACACGGCCGTTCGCATTAATCCGAGGCAGCGCGCCCCCCCCCCTTCCCCTCCTCCCACGTTTATCGCGGCTTTTCGCGATGGGGTTGCGCGAGCGGCGCGCAATTACGCCGCTGTGCAAACGAACCCCTTATCGCCGCGAGCTTTGTCTCGTACATTGTCTTATTCGTGAGGGAGGGGAGAAAAACGATGTCGAGAGACGCGTTCTCACTCGGGACCGTTCGCCCGGAGCGAGTGTATTAATTAATTAAGTTGATCGGTTAATAGGAATTCGATCCGATGCATAGTCATTGGCTAATAGCGCAAGCGAGATTGGACGCGTTTTCGCGTGACCTCGTATAAATTCAACTACATTCGGCCGAGGTGCCGATTCGATTCGCTCGCTCGTTATAATCAGTTGATTGTGCGAATCGTTTACGCAATTTTGTTCGATCGCGCTGTCGTATCGCGCCGTCAAAGGCGCGTGGTCGCAAAAGTGCGGCGTCCCGCGTCCATTTTTCTCCTCGCTTTGATTGTTGAGTATTTCTCTTTCCTCTTTCTCTCTCTCTCTCTCTCTCTCTCTCTCTCTCTCTCTTTCTTTCTAAAATTCGTGCAGGCCGAGGCGGGCGTTAGCGATTAGTAATACTTAAGCGCAAATATACATCTGTATGCACGTTTTAATTACCTTCTGCGCGCGCTAATATCTCAGTCTTCGCGGCTGGCGTAAATCCGGTATTGTTCTCGACAAGCGTTAAGTCTCAAACAGCGGTTAATTCGGGCGACTGCCACGGCGAATTCAGTCTCGCTGCGAGCGAACGACGTTGAAATTCTCGCGATTCAGCGAGTCAGAACACAACGTCGATTTTCCTCTCGTTATTCCTGCCGTTGCGATAAATAAACGCAGTTAACTGTTCGCCGGCGGTGATTCTTTCGAGCATTTCCGCACCGCCGGCTCGGTTTAATACAACACGCGGTGATTAAACGCGGGGCGAGCTTGTAAATCTATTTTAGAATCAGACTCAGAGAGCAGGCGCCTGTCGGAAAAGTTGCGAGTTAATTGTCGACCTTTAGAGAAGTCGGAACAAGTCGGCAGACAAGATATCCAAGAATGGCTGCCGCTTTCTCAGCTATTTGCCCTACTATTTGCTCTAAATTCACTTCATGAATTTACACCTACGCGGAAGTAAACGCGATTTCGCCGATAGACCACGTATTTCTCACAATTCGAACAGCGAGAAGCGAAAAGCCAGTCATTTTTGGCCCCAAATTCAAGTCGCAGCCACCGACTATCGATAGTTTTTTTTTTTCTTCCTTGTGTGCGGTCTCCCGCCGGCCCCCTTCCTCCCTCCCTCCTCCGCCAACGGCATCTGTACGACAATGACCGTTAAATATTTCGCGCGTCCGCCCTCATTTTGTCAGCCGTATCAACGGGAGGGATCCGTTTCGCCGTCGTTTCGGTCGGAAAAGATAGCGATACGCGCCGTTCCGTCTCGCTTCCTCTTCCATTATCTCGTTACAGAGCCGCGACCCCCATTAGGACGAAGAAGGGGGGCTGGGGTGCGCGAGCGGAGGGCTGGGTGCGCTCGATGAGGCGCGCACTCACCGTCAGCAATTCGCGGGCGTCGGAGGTGTGCGACTTTAAGCTGCGCACACACTTTCGGGACCGAAAGTGAAACTCCTCGTCGCTTTTACGTCGCGCTGCGGCAATTGCAGCGGGGGATGCATCTCGCGGAAGGTCACCGGCGGAGGAGGTTCGCCGGCCGAGGTTTGACTTCGCGCGTTTCTTTCCTCCGTCTCGTTTTTTCTCTCCTTTCTCCTCTGCGTCTCTCTCTCTCTCTCTCTCTCTCTCTCTCTCTCTCTCTCGTGCCGCCGGCTCTATTCCGCCGCCACCTCGGCGGCGGAACGTATTAAGAGCCGGGGGAACGAAGGTTGTAAAGCCCCGGGCAGCTTTTTGCCGCGACAATCACACTCGGGCCGGAAGTTTCGTGCTCGGCCCTCGGGCGGCTGAGTGCGCGAGTACGGAACTTGGTGCTCGCAATGGCGCCCGTCAAGCCTTCCCGACGGAATGTCCTCGGTGCCTGCCACGGAAACTTCCGCGTATCGGCGCGCTCGCGCGCCAGGAGGACGTATCTCGCCGAGCTTTCGACGGGGCGCCGTTTAATTCCGGCGACGTTCCGGCGCGCAGAAGTTGCGTAGGAGAGTAGTCTCGTGAGCCCTTCGGCTTGTGACTCGTGGCAGTCGAGTTCTTGCGGCAGCGAGATCCTCATGTTCGCTACGGTTGAGCTCGCAAGACGTTGGCAACTTTTTCCTCTCTCGCGAGATAATTGAAAGAATGCTCCTGCGTTTCTCGCGCGCGATATATTCGGCGCCACGAAGAGTCACACACACACACACACACAGAGAGAGAGAGAGAGAGAGAGTCGGCGAGCTCAAGTAGAAGCTTTGAAAAGAGAAGCTTAAAGCACTGGAAGCACGTTACGTCGAGCAGAGGTCGTCCAAATTTCGTGACACCCGCCGCTGCGTCAGCGTGACACGTTACGTTGCGGGCAGCAGGAAGAGAGCCGAAGGAAACGCTCGTTATTGGCTTAACTTTCGTAATCTTTGCGTTTTTTCACCGACGAAAAATGAGCGAGAGAGCAACCCCCAGGCTCGCGCGGTAATGATCGCTCGACACGGAAAGCCCGCGGCGCTTTCTGATCACGTCATTGCCCGGCAGCGATGATTGCCCGACATGAAAAGCGCAGAGACTGATTACCGCTCGTGATCTAACGATGCTCCGGTGACTGTACATTTCCCCTACAAAAAAGTATTGTTATTCGCCGCTCGTCACCTCGCTCGAACTCGCTCGGACTCGAGTCGCACGGCTGTTCCCGACGCTGCGCGACGCCCCGTTCGTCCGAAAGCAGTCTCGTTTGCTCGACCTCGAGCGTGCTCGACGAATCAACTATTTTTCGGTTATTTAGTGGTATCGCTAGACATCGCTAAGACTCTTTGTACCTCCGCGCGAGGGAGAGCCTGAACGTAGAATTAACCGGTCCCGGCAGTGGCGTAAATAATATTTGGAGGCCCGTGTTGCCGGATGGCCGAAGGCCATCCCCTCATGCCTCGGGGGTTTCTTGCAGTATTACAAGTGAAAAAGAAAATTAGGTAAATCGTTCATTTTGCCATTTTGTTTACGTATACAAATAATAAATAAAATTTAACTATTCCATAAAATAATTAATAATAATAATAATAAAAACTTCTTTATTTCTTTATGAAATATATAAGCACATGTACAAAGAAAGAACATTTTATATACACAAATAATATGTATGAATTTATATTCATAATATTCAAAAAAAGAAAAAAGAGAATATTGGTCTCGGTCCTTGGAGGCCTCTTCTCTTGGAGTCCCGTACTCTTGGAGGCCCCGAGGCCCGTGTATTCTAACACCCTAACACCCTCTATTTACGCCACTGGGTCCCGGCCACTTCGTCTCCCCAGCTATCTCGCGAGTGTAACGTAACGTTTCACAAGCGCTCCGGAGCCAGCCGGATCGGCCGGGCTCCCTCCGGAAGTTCGGGTGCTGCCGAGGTTACGCGGACGCGCACGTGCTCTTAATCGATTAATAAACGGCGTCGACTCGCACCTGCGTCGCGCTGATTCAAGAGGCAGTGAAGGATTCCCGGCGCGCGCTCCCCCACCGTCGCGCGCGACGCGGACGCAAAACGGTCGAGCGAGTTTACGATCCGAGTTGTAGCGTCGAACGCGTCGTCGGTCTTCCCGGCGAAATGCCGATGGTTATTGGGCAAAAGGGCGAGAGGGACGAGAATGCATCCGTGTAGCCGACGTGTAGCCGCGCGAAGACGCACACCTCGAAGACGAACCGCCGCGCACTTTTCCGTATCCACCTACGACGATCCTGCGGATTCATGTGGGTCGCCGTCGTCGTCGTCGCCGTCGGCGCTCCGGGCCCGCGGTTATCCCACGCCGTGGGATCTCGGTCTGTTAAGCATGTTGACAACGCGTAGCAGCGCGCGTTCTCGCCGTTGGATGCTGCGGCCTGCGGACCGCGCGTACTGATCAATATGGAGGGGAGCTTGGTTGAAGAGAGCGGGTAGGGGTTAGTTTCAGGGGATGCTTCGAGGGGGTTTGCGTCGGTGGCGGCTGCCACGGCGGCGGCGGCGGCGGCGGCGGCGGCGGTCCACGGGGTGGCAGTGGTGGCAGTGTCGATGATAGTGGTGGGTCTCGGCGACGACGTCGAAGGTCGATCTGTGCTGGTGGTAGTAATAGTGGCGGCGACGGCGGTGGTGGAAGCGGTGGAAGCGGCGGCAGCGGCGGCGGCGGCGGCGGCGGCGACGGCGGTGGTGGCAGAATGCGAGAACCGCGAAAGGGGAAACGAGCTCTCTCGCGGCTTTACCGCGCGCAGCTTTGGCCGGAGGGAGAGCGAGACCATCGCACCGGTGGCGGCTCAGTACGTACCGCGACGTGGACGCGTTCGTACCGCGCACTCTCCGGCCCTGACTCTTCTAACTGGGTCAACCCCTCGAACAGGATCCTCTGTGCATTAGCCTCACGAGAGGGACAAGGCGGACGGGCGGGCGGGAGAGAGGGAGGGAGGAAGGAAGGGGGAAAGAGAGAGAGAGAGAGGGAGCGTGTGTGTACGCGAGAGAGAGAGAGAAAGAGGACGAAAGAGCGTGTGGAGGCCCTCGGCGCGACAGTAGTAACAGCGCGCGCGCCCGCGGTCGAAAAGCACGGCCGAAGAGGTGTCCTCGTTTTTCTCTCTCTCTCTCTTCGCGACGTCTTTTTCCGTCAGCGCCGACGAGAGGCAGGAAAGAAAGAAAAGCAAAAAGGTCCGGGAGAAGGAGAGAGCAGAAGGACCCACCGTCGGGCCCCACCGTACGTCGTCCCCGGTGGTGGTGCTCCGGTGGTGAAGTACGTAAAACTGAGTGCTCTCTTGAGCGCGCGCGTGCTCGGCTCGCGCTAGGTCAGTCGGACCTGCGGAGCGAACGCGACGAATCGTCCGGACGTCGACGACGACGGAGGCTGCGGGTTCCGCGCGACGCGTTTCTCATCATCGCGCTGCGCTCCCGTGAGCGCGTGATGATCTGGACGGATCGTTTCGAGTGACAGGTTAGCGTCGTCCTGCAGTGATACGTTGCGTTCGATGATAGGTAGATTCGTCGGTGGTAATCGGATAGGTGCGCAGTGAAAGGGTCACTATATCCCTCTCTCTCTCTCTCTCTCTCCCCCTCTCGCGAATCTCGGATAGTCCCGAGCACGGTGCACGGATTAAAGCTAATTAGTACGAATCTCGGGACGATAATCCTCCGAAGATGAGGATCCTCCTATCGACAGGCGCTCCTCGACAGCTCTCGCGCTGCTCCCCGCTTCGCGGGAGCAGGGCTCATCCTCAAGTGACAGCTCTCGCGATAACGGCGGAATTTCTTGGCGCGTATGCTCGTGGCGTCGTGGCGTGGGATTACGTGCGGCGCGCAGCTGGTTCACGAGGAGTGATCAACTTTCCACCTGCGAGCTAAAGTTCTCTCTGTCTCGCGCTCTCGCCCGTTTCCCCCCTCGGTGCTCGAATAGTTACCTCTTCGTCGTGCCACGACTCGAGCGCGCCTCGACGTAGTGTGACAACTGTGTATTGTCGCACGAGACCGTCGACGAAATTCCAAATGACGCGCGTCCGCGAGACGAGATCGAGCCCGCGAGTCGCGAGTGTTTGCGCTGCAATTTTGCGCTCTGACGTCTGACGACGCGTTCGACGCTCGGCGCTACGCTCGTCCTCGCAACCAGGTCAAGTGTGCTCGCCGCCACCGCCACCACCACCACCACCACCACCACCACCACCACTATCGCTAGCACCACCGTCATCGCCGTCGCCGCTGACCTTCACGCTGCGGGATTTGGGATCTTTTAACGTTGCGTCAAGACCAGCGCGTTTCGACAGCCGCGCGCGTGTCGAGCTTGCGCTCGTTTATTCATCGGCGCGAACGCCTCACCGAGGACGACGTTTCAATCTCCGTGGAGTGTCCTTCGATCGAGTCGCTCTCCTCCTGCGACCCTCCCCTCCGCACTCTCGCGAGCACCCCAGGAAAACGCGAGAGCCGAAGGTCTAGGCGGGCGAGATTACCGCGGGAGGACAAATCGCGCGCGGTTTACACGCGATTACATCGGCGCGCGTGAGAGATGAAGCGCGCTAATGTACGCATCGATAACATACGATAACGTATGATAACGTACGATAACGATATCCCCCACGCACATCGCACGCGGTGTATATATATATGCATTCGAGCGACGCGACGCGGCTCTCATCGAGCCGCTCGCAATTTTTCACGCGACGCAGCGACGCGATCGTTAATGCATACATGCCCGGCCTGCGTGGAACGTATTCCCCTCGTCGTGACATTGGAATACAAATTGCGCATTGCCCCCCGCGTCGCTCGCGTCCGCTTGCGTGAGTGGCCGGTATCCTGGCGATAGAGCCGGGCTGAGACGCGAGCGCGTCGGCCGCAGCTCGCTCGCCGACATACTTTTTTCGCGTTCTCCCTCGTCTCCCCCCCCCACCCCCACCCCTTCGCCTCGTCCCCGTCGCGGCGAACTTCGCGGAGAACGCCACGCGAAATCAGTATAACGCGTCCCCGACGTGGCACGTCGGATTATGCCATTATGAATAGCACATCCCGAGTCGTGGCCGCGACGCGGCCGGGAAGCATCCTTGAAAAATTCACGTCGCCTGGCTGCGCGCCCTCTCGAGCTCTCCTGCTTCTTTCTCTTCTTTTGCTTCTCGACAGTCGTGGATGCGCGTACCTCGGCCCACCGCGGTCCCTCTCTTCCGACTAGCCTCCATGTTTTAATCCTCTGAAAAATGCAACCGGCGCGGCAGCGAGCCGCCGCAAGACCGCGTCTGTTTCCTCCCACGCGCTCTCGAAGGATCTCCGCTCCCGGGAGTGACATCGGCGTCCGGCGGATCTGACGGATGTTTCAAACGCGCGCTATATATGTTTCTCTCAGGGTCGCAGGCCTGCCTGATGTGTGTGATTCCGACTGGGGAATCCGGCACATTTCCGCGTTCGTTTCCACAGTAATCTCTCTGGAGATACGTCGCGAGTAACAGGATACGTTACCCGTTCGCAGCCAGGATTCGCTCTCGCCGTCCTGCCGGCCACGAGAGCGTGAACGTTTGGGCTCGACTCTTCAGCCGAAAGAACAGCCTCTTCGATTTCTTCGACCGAAGGTCGCGCGATAAGGTCCGCTCGCAGGTCCCCCAAGCGTGCGCGTGCGAGAGGACTCATCAACGGCCGTCGTTAATGACTCGTCGAAAATGACCGAATCGAGTCTGAACGCTCGCCGATTGGACGTTTTTCCCGCGATTTGACGCGCTCGCAGCCTCCACCCACTCGCCGTCGCGCTATTGATGCGAGCGGGGAGAGCCGCGCTCGCGCTTGGACGAGACTCGAAGGACGCGAAGACGCGGTCGACCGGTGAGGCCGGAAACGCGCCGTTTAACGGCCGACCGCGATTTTCTATATTTAGCCGCGAGGACGAGCGGCGCGCGATCAGACCGCACGCATCGGGATCGTTCGTTTCAATTTTAATTCCCACCCTCGGCCTCTCCCCTTCTGTTCGATAGCTTGACGTCGGCTGTCCATTACCGCGCGCCAGAGTAGGCGCGCGTGCGCGTACGATCGATCGGTCGATCGATCGATCGATCGATCGATCGGTGGGTCGATCGGTGTCACGTGAGTCGCAGGCGACGCGCGGAATTTAATTTCGACCTTTGAACCGAGCAGTGGTACTTGAGCAAACTTTGCTTCTAATTATATTCACCGAACAATGACGCCGGGGGATTCGTCTTATTAGACGCTTGGATTCAATATTGAGAGAGAGAGGGAGAGAGACAAGGCCGTCGTCCGTTCCGCCCCACCGTCGTCGAACTTGGTGTTTCTTTCACGGGCGGCTTCGAGTCCACTTGTCTGGCATCGATCAAAGCGGGACCTCGCCGTCCCGCGAATTTCACCACGAGGGTTTCTCTTTGAACCTCGGATTCCTTCGAGGACACTTGGTCGCTCGTGTGGCTGAAAACAATCGCGATTCTCGGCCTCCAGCTGCGCGCTGTGAGCCGCGAGGACACGTCGAACGCGCATGACACATCGCGTCGGCGAGACGTTGCGACGAGTGGTCGCGGACGCGCTGAAACGATTGATGGACGAGTGATCGCACCGCGAGGATCCTGCGAATGAATGATCGTTGATCCGCTCGGTCGGCGAACGCGTCAATCGCGTGCGCTCCGCGCGCTTCGGCCGCGCGATTTTTCCGGATATTCTCAGGATCGTCGGGAATATTTTATGCTCGCACCCGGCGCGACGGGTAAGCCGGGGATAAAATCGCGATCGAGGAGGGCACGAAAGGGTCGAGCATCGTTTCGAACCCCGCGTTTAATAAGCTCGCCCGCCGACGCGGTCTCTCGCGGTTGTTATTGAAATCGATGGTTATTAAAGGCGGCCGGTTTAATGCATCCCCGCTATTACTTTCCACGTAGCAACTGTACGTCGCAACGAGGGTGGCACGACGACGACGACGACGACGACGACGACGACGACGACGAGGAGGAGGAAGGGGCAAGGGCGGTTACGGGCGAGTCGGGGAAGGACGAGGTCGGACGGCGAGAGCGTGACCGGAATAAAGCAGGGCGTTAGGACGACGGAGGAGTAGACGGGAGGAATTAAAAAAGTGCGCGCCCAGTCGAGACGCTGCCGGAGTCGTCTCGAGTCGATATAATCCCCGATATCCTGTTAATAGATAGCAGAGGATAATGCACGGTGATAAAGGATAAACTCCGCGGACTATCCCAGGATAATACCTTTCGAAGCTACTTTCGAAGGATCTGCCCGCCCTTCTATGATCCTTCGTCCTGTGAAACGTCCCCGGTGGAGTGACGTCGCGGGGTAATTGAGAAACTCTCCCTCGATAAAGAGAAGGAGAAAGAGAGAGAGAGAGAGAGAGAGAGGGAGAGAGAGTTCCAGTGAGAGTCCAGCCGCGTCCGCGAGAGAGTCGGTGCATTGAGGTGAACGAGGAAAAGATATCTGCGAGGATAATTGATCCCGGACCGAACCCGCCGCCGTCAGTTCTCGACGGCTCTTCGACGTTCCACGTCGCGCCGCTCTCGCCGCGAGTTTCAGTGACATGCCGTTCGGCATTAACGGGTGCAGTGCGTCGAGGGATCCTGCCGTGGGCCATCCTGGGACATCGCGAATCATCGGTGGTGAGTACTCGTCCCCTTGCGCGTACTTCGTGTCTACGGATCTAGGACGCGGTGATATTATTTGTGCCGGGGGAGATCCGCGCGCGCGCGTGCGCGCGCGGAAAGGTTATCGCGAGGGGAATATTTTCCGCGCGGAGACAGTATCGCACTGCGCTCCACTGCGCCGCGCTGCGCTGCGCTGCGTACTGAATATATTTATTCCAGAGAGCCCGGTATGTTATACGAGCGCATATAAATTCTTACTTTTCTTCTCGCCTTTCCGCGCCGAGACGTCGCATCCGGCGAAATCCACGAGCAGCCGCGCGGCTCGTTGCGGCTCTGAAATGTGCATAGACGGGTATTCGTTACGTGGCTTAAGGCCGCCGCGAGTGTGTAATTAAATAAGAGATGCAAGGGGGGCGGCGGGAGAGCAATTTTTACCTCTCTCCGTCTCCTTCTTTCATCACATGTCGTTAGCACTCACTCTCTCTCTCTCTCTCTCTCTCTCTCTCTCTCTGTTTCGCGTGCTCCGTATTTCGTCCGTATGTCTGTCTCTCTCTCTCTCTCTCTCTCTCTCTCTCTCTCTCTCTCTCTCTCTCTCTCTCTCTTTCTGCGTGAATTAATTGCAGTTTTTTACATATTCCACCAATCTTCGGTCTCGGGAGAGAAGAAATTCGACGAGCGTTTTTCATTTCTCTCATAAATCCACTTGATCGACGTCGATCGCTTGTCGGATTCGTCTTGCCGCGCAGAATTTAATCGTGGATTTCATAATTCCATTTTTTCTCTGGCAGGTAGCACTGCCGAACGCAGAACTTGGACCCCGTGATCCGTCTATGATAATGCGTCAGTCGCATCCATAAATCCGTGACGGGAAGATGCCGCGTGACTTTTCAGCGAGCGAGCGAGCGGACACGATTGCGCGGCGGAAAATCTCGAGAATTTGTGCGACGTTTTGTGAACGTTCGCGTTGCTCTGTATCGCCGATTCTCCCGCTCGATAAGTATCGCGGATGCGAGGCGACCGGAAATTCCCGCAATCTGCGATCCCACGTCGATCTCTTTACTTTCTCTCTCTCTCTCTCTCTCTCTCTCTCTCTCTCTCGCGAATAAATTCGCCTCTGCACTCTCGTTGTTGTTGCTCCACCATTCTTCCGCACGCATTCTCCAACTCTCTTCTATCAAACCTTTCCCTATCACGCTCGTTTATTTCTTCCGCTCTGCCGTTGCTCGTTTCTGCCGTCATTGTTGTCGGAAAATACAGCGATCGTTGATGCTGGTGGAAAAACGGCAAAACCGATGTCGAAAAAATTTACTTATATATCTTATTTTCCGATTATGCGCATCGAGAGTTTGATGTATTTCGCGTTTAGTAAATTGATGAAGGGGAAAGCGCGGGATGCGGGGATATTTGAGGAAAATAAGCCTCTACCTTTCGCATCGCGTAGGTAATTTTCGAGAAGGAATAATTCTGGCATTGTTATTCTCGTCATGCGTTTCGCGTTATTTGTATTTACGGAAACGTATTTGCATTAATGACTACATATTTGCGGAACGAGAACGTTGTTTCGGTAAACGCTTATAGCGGGATGACGGCGAAAATACATCCAACGTCATATATTTTCAAATGCACAATTAAATTGCGGAGCATTGTGTTTTTACGCGGATGCTGTTATTTACACGGGGCGTTTTTTAACATTACTTCTTTATGCGTTATCTATTTCCTACCCGGTATATCCTGCGTTATACATCAAAATCATGCAATATGTTTGCCGAATTCGTCTCACCGTCGGCTCACTTTTTATTCACTTTTATTACTTGTCTTGTACTTTCCGCTCTTGTCGCTTTCCTTTTGCCCCTTCTTCTTCTCCGCCTTCTCCTCCCCCACCTCTTGTACCGCTATCTGAAAATATTCATGGCAGCGAGAAGAGAAGAGAGGAGGAGTTATTGTATGCCGTGAAATACTTTTCTGGGATCAGCCACGTCCTGATCCTTTTACTGCCGGTTCGATAAGTCTCGAACTTTGGCACTTTCGTCGTAAGATTTCTTCTCCTTCGTTTCCAAGAATCTTTTCGCAGTTGATACGTTTTCATTTCGCGTCGAAGTTGGCGAGTCTCTCACGCAAAGAGAGGAAAATCGCGAAAAGTCGATGATTTTTAAAAATTTACTCAACCGGGCGGAGACTAAATAAAGAGCCAACAAATTAAATAGAATTAATTGTCAATGTGTCTCTCTCCGGATTATTTCAGAGATGTCTGGATACGATTATCCTCCTTTAGAACAAAAGCAGTATTCCACCAATAGGTAGCAATGTTGATACTTTTATTCGAAAACAGTGTGTGAACACCGAGTGTTCACTTCTCTTCCATGCAAAACGGAAATGAATATTTTGCGCGATTCTTTCCAAAGTAAAAAAATAGTCTCCAAGTTTTATTGCAAGCATCCGCCGTTAGATTAATACGTTCATTTTCCAGTCTAATTTTATTTATTCATTGTCTGTCCTTTTGCCTTGTTATCTTCGCCAGTGTGACAGCGGCTGAAAAGAGAAAAGGCAACTGCAACGTTCCCAAGGAGCAAATAATTGTATCCGGATCGATGACACTAATTCTTTCACTTGCGATCAGATAAATGTCGAGAGAGAGAGAGAGAGAGAGAGAGAGAGAGAGAGAGAGAGAGAGAGAGAGGGGGGAAGAACTCTCATCGGAGCTTCTTGTTGCGAAGCGAAATAAAACTCGCGTTTGTTAAGTTTTATCTTTTTCGATCTACAAAGAAACTCGCCCGAGCGCGCACGAGGAATATCTTCGGTGGAGAGTAATATAGTTACGTATCGCGGTGCTCGCCTGGAAATATTCGTCGAGTTTCTCCCGTTTAAACATCCGCGAAAGTAAAACAAAGGCCAAAGGCATCGTTGCGGGGATCCTCGAGGATCAGCGTGGTCGATCCCTTTATTTCTACCGGGATGAATCGCGTGCGGCGCGCGCGGCGCGGATTCGCCGCGAGATTTCTCCGCGCGACCGCTCAGCCGCGAATCTCTCCGAGGAGGTCGTTCCAACTTTTTGTTTATTTATTTCTTCTCCCCAGGGTCATCGCGACAGGCACAACGCATTTGTCCCGATTTCTCTCTGTACTTCCCCCCGCCCTTTCTTCCTCTCCGTCTCGTCTAAAAATATCGCGCTTCCACGCTACATAAAGGACGCGCAGCGCGAGAGATGGAGCCTCTCGGACGTTTCTTTTCGTCTGGATTCGGTAAATCTTAAACTTTGACGTTTTTACTACGTAACTCCTTTGCCACCGCGTGCGCATAAATCCTTTCGACTTTCCCGACTTGCGGAGGCTCGACCGGGAGATCCTTGGTCGCGGCGGTGGCGACGGCGACGGCGACGGCGGCATCACGGCTCACTAGACACCGGCTTTTCTTTGTCCATTTCGCGAACTCTCGCCGCGGCCAGGTTGTCGTTACTCGCATCGCGGATCAGGCGCCTCTCTGATTGTCCTCTCTTTTCTTCTTTTCTTTTTTGCTTTGTCCCTTCCCCTCCCGACCACCGAAACGTGTTTTCGAGCACCAGAGCGCGTGCAGTCCCCGTTTGACGGAAACCGCTCGTCGACAACTCCGCGCGCGTACCAGCTTCGTGTTCGATAAATCACGAACGCTCGAGCGATAATCCATAAATCTCGCCTCGGTAAACTCTCGCGTCCGTCGACTTTTCAACGTCTTGACCGCAGCGTCGACATCTCTCTGGCTCTCTCGTTCTTTCCCCTCTCTTTCCCTCTTTCTCCTTCCCCTCCCCCTTCATTCTCCCTCTCTCTCTCTCTCTGTATCTCTATCTCTGTATCTCTATCTCGTTCGCAATTCGTTTTACTTCGGCTCCGCTGCGTCTCACGGGTGAAAATATTTGTACGGGACAGAAGTTTTCGAGCGCGCACCACGATTTCGTCGTCGTCGTCGTCGTCGTCGTCGTCGTCGTCGTCGTTTCGCTCTTGTAACTATCAGTCGGATAAATCTCCAAGTTTGGGAGCGAGGCTGCCATGTTCCATAAATTTGCCAGGCCGTTCCTCGCGAACTCCCGTCCCGTCGATCGACTTTTCCGCGTCTTGACCGGCGTCTTGTCCATTGCGCGATAACGCCAGTCCGTGCCGAGATTCACAAACGGGTCTTCCTCCGCTACCCCGCTACCCCCAGCGCGATCACCCGCACGGAAGTTCCTCCCGACGACTTCTTTCGCCTCCGCTTCGTACTTGGTGTTTTCTCACCTCCTGGAGGGACCTCTCGCGCTTTCCTTCCTGTTATCGGGGGTCGTACTCTCGCGCGGCACAACGTGCCGTCCCCTTTCTCTCTCTCTCTCTCTCTCTCTCTCTCGCTCTCGCTCGCGCTTTTTTCACCGCTCGGCTCTGGAATCCGGCTTACGCTCGCAGTTTTCGCCGGCGAGAACATTGCCAGCGCGACAAAATTTCTTCGGCGAGCGCGTAAATACGCCGCGACAGCAGGAATGCGCTGTTCGGCCGCTGCGACCGAACCTCCCGTCTCTGCGATTCTCCCGTAACAAGCCGCTCCCCTGACGAGGCGAGGAGGCGACGACGCCACCGACGACGAACCTGCCGACGTTGGCAGCGTAAATACAGAAAAAGCTGGTGCGCGCGCGCGTCCCGCTTTACGAATATACGGACTGTTACGTGCGCTGCATGCGTGGCGAATGGCCCGCCGATGCGAGTCTGCCGCCGAATCTGTATGCGCTCGGGGTCATCGATAATATATGCGGCACGCGATAAACATGTGCACACCCGCGCAAACGAACGTTCGCGCAGATTTACGACGCGGTATAGGCGTGTCAGGACGGCTCCAAGCCGCCAGTGAATCCTCCGCGATTGTTGAACTTGGAACAGGTGGGACGGAATATTTATAGGATTTATGAGTACTGAAAACGACAGAGATCGTCGATTCAAGTCGATAAGTCGCGAATCACTGTGGTGGAGATCGGGAGATCTCCTCGGAAGGAAAAGGTCTCTCAAGCGGAGCCGCTCGGTCGACGTTAGGTCTCATTTTCGCTTCACCTTTTGAAGAGCGGAAGTCCGAAGGAATTCGAGGACAGTAGGCCAATTTACGAGGGAGGCTTTATGCCCCGGCGGGGAACTCGAAGATGACTCGGCGTAATCCTCGTAAATTTCGCGGAGCACCGCGGCGAAAAAGGAAAACAAAGGGAGGAGAATCTCGATGGGGTTTCCTTCCTTTCCTCTGCCTACTTATCAGCGGCAGACGTTGCCGACTCCCGCGGGGAAGATTTTTCTCTCTCTGGACAAAGGAGTAAAATTTTTACGAGTCCCACGGCCGTTGGGCGCCGAGAAAATCGAATAAACTCTCAGACTGAAGCTCGTGATTAGATGGAATCGAATCCTGGCCGCCCCTGTCGTCGCCGATAGCGACTGTGAAAGTGCGGGAAACAGATACGGGACTTCGCTGCGATTTGTCTGCTTGACGACGCGAACCGCGGCAATACCGTCCGCAAAATGATCCAGCGATTCCTCTCGATCCACATTTCGCAGAGTAAATGAGAGATACGGAGGAGAACTAAACGAAAATCGCGCTCGTACCGCTCGTCTTCTGCTTCTCATCAGGATCAATCAGCCGCGTAAGCAAAGTATACAAATTAACGCACGGTGGCGATTTGTTTTCCGCGACAGACAGTATACCCGCGGAGAGCGCGGGTGTATTATTGAAACAATGACGCCGGTCTTTGACCTGTAATTGTCGGCTCGATTCACGATTTGTCAAATAAGCCTCGCGAAACGTTGATTGCTTCGTTGACGCGACTGCGCAGCGCTGAAAGCTCCATCTTTTTCATTCGGTCGCAATTTCCCCCTTTCGCGTACGTGTACGTACGTGCGTGCGTGCGTGCGTGTGCATGCGTGGGAATAATAATGAAGCCATGTGGTTTCCGTGTGTGTTTCCATTGTATTGCGTTGTACACGCTCGCGTAGTTGTACGTAAATGTGCCCGCGCGTACGCCGGCCGCATACGGTCAAATACGGTCACAGAGTTCGCTATTTCTGGAGCAGTGCTTATCGTAACCCACTTTAACCCCGATTCCCACCCCGCTGATACGCTGACACGCACACATCACGCGAGACCGCGCTCTCGCAAATTCGCCTTACATATATCAATGTGATCTCGAGCTGTGACAGTCCGAGGGAGGGTTTATAATTCCAGCGTCGTGGAGTTCCTCGATATCAAAATTGCTGGGAACAATATGTGCTCCGGGGAACCGAGTGTGAGTTTGGGAAACAGCTGGAATCGTGCGAGATGGAGTTAAATAAGTAAAGTGTCTGGATGAGTGCCCGGAGTGATGTGTCTCGAAAATTCAGCCGAAGCGACGGTGAGATCTGAAGCAAATTCTTCATCCATACGAGCGAATGTTTCAGTCAGTCGCAATGAATTTATTTCTATGGCGGAATACGTCGTGGAAATATTCGCTCGACGATTCTACGCGGAGAGTTCGCTCTATGCGAGAGGTGAAGGCCGCTGAAATTCGAGCGACTCGGCTGCCTCGCTCGGAGTTTCCGAGCGGAATTTTCTTGGAAAAAAATTCTCAAAGCGCAATCCTTGATAATTCTTCCTGCAAATTTCTCATCTCGACGCTTTACCGCTTATACATTTATATATATTCGCGACAAAATTGCAAAAGGTGACACCGTAGCACACTGCGACGACGTTCCGCGACCGTTCTGTGAACCTGGCAAGCAATTTGATAAAAAAGAAATATGGTTCGATTGTACTTCGTTTGTACCTGTTCGTACCACTTTTTGTTTCGTTTGTATCTCGGAGGATACGGAAAACAGAAGAGGAAGGAAAAAAATAGCCAGCAAGTAAGTACAATATATCGCAAAACGGCCAACGCCATTCGAAAGAGAATCGTTTGTGTCCGTTTGTACCTCCCTTCAAATCGTTTGTACCTCAGAGGAACCGAAAATACAGGCCAAACGGGATTTTCTTTCGGACGGCGTTGTCCGTTTTCGAGTATCTTACGCTAGGAAAAATGTATTGTTGCGCGAACCAAAATTTCGTTGTAACAAGAAAATAATTTGGTTAAAATAATATAAAACAAAACTGTTTAGTTCCTGTAGACAAATATCTCGTTTGATTACGATTTGTTCGTATAACACAATACTTTTGTTACAGCAACCAAAAAGCTTCAACTATATGAATTTTATTAAAAATACTATAATTTTTTCTTAATATATAAAGTCTAAATTTTAGTGCACAGAAAGACAAAATTCCAGTACCCATTGGACATTATTTTGGTTTATGTAAAATAATATTTCGTTATTATGTAATTTTTATGGATAAAATAACTAAAACGCTTAATTTTTATATATGAAGTCTAAGGACAAAATCATTTGGTCCAGGGAACAAAGCAGAAAAATATATTTAGTTGAGACAACTAAATATTTTGTTATATATAACAACATATTTGGTTGCTGTTAAAAAATGCCTCAACTAAACAGTTTTGTTAGAGGTACTACATTTTTTTTCCTAATGTATACTTGCTTGCTGGCTATTTTTCCCGCTCCCCTTACCTTTTTATTCTTTGAGGTACAAACGAAACAAAAAATTATAACAAGCAGGTACAAACAAGGTACAATCGAACCGTATTGAGAATCTTTTTTTTTTTTTATTAAGTTGTTTGCCAGGTTCACATCGGTCGTTTTGCGAGTTTCTCTGGCGCTTTCCTTTTGCTTATGATCCATGTTGTTTATCGGTTGCAGGAAGTGCCGTATGTTCGTGAAGCTCGTGGCCCGCGTCGTTCGCTTTGCTGTCTTTCATGTCAAAAATAAAACCACTCGCGGGAGCCACGCGAATTCAGCCATTGGACGCATCGACTGCGGTGCTCGTGTAACAAAGCTGCGGCGGGCTGGAGAACGGACATCGAGGGAAAGTGCGATCACTCGGCATGAAGGGTGAGTGAATTTTTTTAATTCGCCAGGGGCCCGACCTGTGTCGGTGTCGCCGACAGTTTAGTCGTTTGTCGAAAAACTCGCGACCGCGACGCGAACGAGTACCACAAGGTCCGTCTTGTCGAAGCGAGCCGAATTTTCGAATCTCGCGGCGATTTCGAACTTCGCCGCGAGCGGAGGGACTCCGACCGTGAAGAATGATATTTTTTGAGCGCGAGCGATTTATTAGGCCTGCGGGGCCGACATTTTTTGTTTTCGTTGCCGTGTTGCCGCTGTTGTACAGATGGTAACAGATGGTGCACGCAGCGTGCGAGACAAGCAATCAAAAGCACGCTCTCGAGCACTTTGTCGATGTAACCGCGTCCCAGGAGTCGCGCGTGAGCGCCAAGCGAACGCGCGTTGCGGCGTGATCGCACCCTCTCGTTCTCTCACGTTTTTTATGGACATTCCGTTTGATGAATTACATCGCGCAACGATCCATTTCTCGCGCAAATAAATTTCGTGCCGCGCGATTTAATAACATACGCGGTGATAAAAATCTTTGTCCTCGCGCGATGCGTTGCAGCTGAAAAATCCGTCATGCACCGCTCTGCGTGTTTGTTGAAAGAGATTGTGTGAGAGAGAGAGAGAGAGAGACAGAGAGAGTGTGTGTGTTCGAGTATGAAAGAGGGTGTGTGAGAGAGAGAGTGTGTGAAAGAGAGAGTGTGTGAGAGAGAATGAACGAAACAGAAACACAGAACGAGAGGGAGATGTGAGCAGAGAGAGAGAGAGAGAGAGAGAGAATGAGGAAGATAGGGAGAGAGATTGCGCGAGTGTGATAGAGAGAGAGAGAGAGAGAGAGAGAGAGAGAGAGAGAGTGAGTGAGAGAGAGTGTGTGTGTGTGTGTGAGAGAGAGAGAGAGAGAATGAGAGAGAGAGAGAGAGAGAGAGAGAGCTTAAGATGGTCTTGAATTTCTAAACGTTGAAATTTTCATTGATTAGACGGTGACGCGTTACCATGCAGGAAATATGTGTTATGGAATTTCAAAATGTATGCGCCTAATACATCGTATGTTGGAGTCGGATATTATCGAATATTATATCATATTCCAGGTTTTATTTATAATATTTATTCTTAATTTTAATATGAAAATGCTAAGATGGCGCACGCTTGTAGTATTCTAGTCAATGAAAATGTGGCGACCGAGCCACCGACAGTGTTTGAGGCCGTGGGTCGAATCGCGCGTGTTCTGCGATGTGATTTAGGCGTTCCTCCCGTGCGGACGTGCACTCTAAAGTCCCGGGCGACTCGCAGGAAGTATATATCAAAGCTGGTCTCCGTGAAAATTTCCGGAATTTCGCGTCGCCTCCTTGCGAACATCCAGGCAAAGCCAAGTCGCCCGACGGCGAGCATTATGCGGTCATGGAGTAACAGCTATTTTGCATAACCCAATTAGCCGACACGTGTGCACGTCCGCGCCCACGTGCACACACACACACACACACACACACACACAAGGTACGCGAATGAGAGTCAACATCTCGTTGAATTGACGACGAAGGAATCTCGTGGAAAATCGCCGGTGAGTTTTAACCTGCCCTCACGACGTGTCGATTATTCTTGCTTGGTCTTCAAACAGATTAAAAATCCCGCCGCTCGCCGTCTGCGATATTATCTGGCAATTTGTAGGGATCGCCCGCTGCGCGTCCGCTAATTAAGAAGCGAGCGGCAACTTGTCATTCATTATTCATAAACTGTGGGCCGTCGGGGCGGCCGCGGTGCGGTAGGCTTTATTAAAACGTCAGTTCGCGAGAGCAATTTGCTAACGTGACGCTAATTAGCGGCCGGCCGCCTGTTGTACGTCGCGCCGCCCGAAGAGTCAACAAGCGACCGGATCAGGAATCAGGGCCGATAATAAAGCAGGTCTACGTGATAGATCGAAGTTTGCCTTCGCGACGCGCTCTCGCGGATGTATCATTCGCTCTCCGCCGCTGAGAAAATAAATAATTCCTTCGCTCCGACGAGGAGCTCGGTCTTTCTCGCGTGAAATTTCGCGTGAAACCAGACCGCTCTCGCTCGCACATGTCGCGCGGGAAGAATCGCCGTCACGATCGCCGTGCGAATTTGATCTCGACTGTTTTCGAAGGTCTTTCGTACCTTCCGAATGATGCAGCCATCGAGGAGACCTGTCTTATACCTGTCTAGTGTTATTTCGCGACACTCTTCATTGATTATTCAAGCTCGATGATATTTGCAAAACGCTCGTCTTCTGTGTCGCCGGCGGCGGAAGGAGCTCTCGTCGCGATAATGCGCGGTTGTACTCGGCTGCTTTTCAACTTTTAACTTCTTCAACTTTTAACTTATTCAAGTTTTATCTTCAGCTGGGGCGCAACGGCACATCAAGGTCCGCATCGTAGCTTTTTTGATTTCTCATGGAACCTTCAAACTCGATGGCACTGCGAGCTTAATGTCTCCGAGCTAGGGCTAGGCGGAATTCTCACTGGGAACTGCGGGTTCGCCGCATGGCGAACGTGCGTTCGTTCAATTACGCAAGTACGACGCGACGTGTCGTCGGATTATGTCGAATAATCGAATATGAAATAATTGGCACGATCCAAGTCACGTCCTAGAGAGTATTAATTGAATTTTGCTTCTGCCCGTTATAATTAAGCTCCTCGGGTGCGCTCATTGGCGTTCCTCGCGTGGCGTATTCGAAACGCAAAATTCGAAACGAGTTCGGTATTATAAGACGGTCGTCTCGTACTGGATCTACTTGTTGAATCTTTCAAGCGTTTAAGTAATAACGTCATTTTTGCCGTACTCGGTGTTTCTCGAAAGAAGGACTCATTGCTCAGGATTATTCCGAAACTCGATTAGCTCTATATATTCTGTCCGAATTTAATTGATACCTGCTTATCTCACGTATTCTGTTTGCAAGTGCGAGCGAGTTACTTAATTAACATAATGTCGGCTTAAGTGGATAATAGAAATTATAAACACACAGCTGAAATATCTTTCGGGACAAATGAAAATTAAACAACTCCGAAACGAGAGTACTTGTGAGATTCAACGGAAAAGAAAAACAAAAAGAAAGAAAGAAAGAAAACCGTTCGTATCATCATGATATGGAGCAACGACAATGTTATGTACAATGTTACGTCTCGAGATTTCTCATTGGACCCTTCGAGTCCCGCGGAATTTGCAGACGTTAACGTAAAACGTCGACTGTCGCGACTATCGTGAGAATCGAGGTATAAAAATGCGTGTTTCGCGAATCATTCGGGAATGATGAGACGGGATTTTCTGCGCAACGTCGCGAGCGAATGCGAGCCCTGCTCGAAACTGATTACCCTCCAGATCAAAAGGCAGTCTGCCAGTCGAAACGATTAGATTCCTACGAAATTGCGCCGACATGTATCCGCGATTAGCTTTTAGCTATCTCAGCCGGGCGCAGGCTGAGCCGCCGGCGCGCGGAGTGTAAATGCCTATGCGGCTGATCCTACGATTAACTGTCCTTATATGACGGTTATTTGTGTGCGTAAGTGTATGCGCCCGACGCAAACGGCATATTGCGCGATTGCAAATCCGATAGTGAATTATCCCGGCGATTGCGCATCGCGCGGAGCCCAATTCGCTCGCTCGCTCGCTCGCGCGCGCGCGCGCGTATCGCGCGCATAAATCGTTTCTCGTCCGTTTCCTATCGCTCGTAAAGCCAAATTAACGTCGGCTTCTTTTCGGTCTGATCTGATCGCGCGCACGTTACGCGTGACGCTCGACGGACAGGTGATTATCGCCGTAAAACACGCTGTCGCTCCCGCGAGTTTCGATCCGTCGCACGACTGTTTGTCGAAGCGAGCGAGTTTTCGCCGTGAGAGACCGCGCGATCGGCGGTATCCGCGAGAGCGCCAATTGAAGCCTCCACGAGCTCGATTCAAGATTAATCGAGACCGCTTAACAGCCTCGTCGTTTAACAGCACGTTCGGTGCCGCGCTGATCCGCAGCACGGAAGCCTAAGTGATTCCTTAATTACCGGAGACGCGGTGCTATCGAGAAACGCTGGAGACGCGATGGATAAGGTCAGTCAACAAAATGAAGAACGGGAGAATGCGGCTTCAAGTTCGACGGAACTTGAAATTACACTTGACACCAAGACCCACTCGCACTTTTTCTCGTCGCTTCGCACGGCGACTCGCGCGCTCACTTGCCGCGTGAGAAGCGTGAGATTTTAATCACCGAGGGTGCGATATTATTCAGGATTGTTGAAGATAAATAACGGTAAATAATGTAATTTAGTGAGCAAATTGAAGAAGGGGAGGAGACAATTGTAGGTACTCGGCTGCCTCTTTCGGCTGGTTCCACCAGCTCCGCTTCATTGGGCGTACGTTCAAAATTTCGTAGACACTATTAATTATATCTTATAACGTTACTTAATGAGACACGGCGGTATCATATAATGTCGGAGTCCAATGTGGAGTTAATCTCGCCTTGAAAGCCTCCTACGTTCCGGAGAACGAGCATGTAAAACTCGCGCACACGCGAAGTTTCTCGTTACATTCGCCAGGAAGAATTATTTTCCGAGTACCCTCGCTGCTACTATTTTGCAGTAGATACGCGGTTTCACGACGTGCTTTATTACTGTTTGTCTCACAAGACACACATACACACACACACATATAAACCGAGAGCGCTGATCCAACAGAGTTAGAAACGTTCGTGTTCTCTTTACGGCTGCCGTCGAACCTCATCCTTTTGCGTTACGTCGAGAGCGCATGCACATCATTGGCCAGAAACGAGCATCCAGAGATCACGGATTCGACAATGAATTATCCTTGATAATATACGGCGGCCATAGCTGCTTGTGCTCGCCGGACGATAAATCGCCCCCGTTGTTTTCCGTCTACGTAATATAAACGACGCGTTTATGCACGTGAATTTACATCGTTTTAATTACATTTTCTCGCGACGAATATTTTCCGCCGGTCGGCGGAAGAGAGAGACAGAGGGAGAAGGGCGGGGTCGTCTGG